AGGAGAAGGACAAAGGAGGACAACCCGGCCACAGAGCCCGGCCACAGGGCCAGTCAGTGTGGCCAGCTCCTTTTTTTCCTAGATAGAACCCCAACAGTAAACTGTTTGGGTGAAAAAAATTGAGAAGTATGCACGCGCATTGGTTTTACAGTTTTACACATGCGTGGTCGTGCCTTTGCCATTGCGATCTATATGTACATGCTGAAGATGAACCGCGCTCGCACTTTACTACACTGGAACACCCCACTCTGCAAGACACACCGACCGTGAAAGACTTCGCGCGACATGGCAAGAGAAAGGCCAAGAACCAAGCGCTCCCATTGCAAGTTTTTAACATGCCTGCGCCGCACACACAAGAATAGGTGACCTTGTGGCACTTCAGGCTTTTGCGTGAAAGTTCCAAGATCACCCAAAAGAACGCTCGGAATCTCGGACACACTGTGTCCGTGGCATTTCAGGGTGCAGGGCATAAGTTCAACATGAAGAAACACTGTTCACGCGCAGGAATTGTGACCAACTTCAGGCTTCAGGGTATAGACTATCGTCCGCCGCGGGCACGTCTTTCCCTCAGACAAACAGCGCCCAGAGTCGGTGATAGTTATGCCAAATTGTGTGGTTGTCAGGGATTCTGGCCAACATGCACTCATCACAAACACAGCGAGGCGGCCTACAAAGCCGTGCAATCTATGACAGTAGCCGTCTTGAGTCAGCGTCAATAAATCAAAGGCAGTCATCTTGACTGGACACTGCAAAAACAGTGTTTTTGTTCCGCCTTGATCCCGCATCCACGCCCTTCACACCCGTCACATCTGTGAGGTTAAACTAGACACTCTGCGGATGTGTTTATGCCGCGATGGGAAATTGTCAGTTCCCTTCACAATTGGATGCGACACGAAGTTTCGGCTGCTGCACCGCAATGCGGTGCAGGCAGTGGGTAGTCCAAGGCACTGTGGGATGGCTTTGTTGCTCCATAGCCCTCCTGTCTGGAGGACAACGAGGCGACAACGTGTTGACCGGGTGAGAGCGTTCCTTTCGCCCGCCCGGCCTAGCTAGTGCCTGGGCCTCGAACAACAGTGATAGTGATCTGGAACGGGGCAGAGCTGCAACGAGGTCTGGAAATGTGGCCGGCCTCAGGTCGTGATCCGGAGCGAATACTGGGAAGCCGCACCGATATGTGTGTTCTGGTGCCCATGCTCTCTGATCCTGGACTCTTCCCAGTGTGTGGTTTCCCTTATTTTGCTGTGCTGGTGGCAGGTACCACCCCAATAGATGTTGACTGACTGTTAGTTGCGAAAGTCACTAAGCTGCCAAAAGAGAAGCGAGCAAAGGGATGCCGGGCGGCGCAGCGGACCACCACAGAATCCAAGTAACAGTTGACAAAGGCAAGGGACCTCCTGCCTGCTTCTAGGTTCCACCGAGCGAAAAAGCAATGAGTCAGTGAGGCCCTTGCACATAAAGAAAAAGCATACAAAAGCGATGATGGGTTGGCACTCCTTCGCAACGCATGCAGTGACCGCCCCAAGGGCGCCAGGGGATGCCATGAGGGTGATTGCCAGTCGCTCCACCAGGATCAATCTGTCTTCATTTCTTCCACACGTCCACGCCCGCACCGAGCCTGCAAGCCGCAGCTCGGCCGGGGCCCGCCCTTACTTTAAGTAGACACGTCCACTGCCAGAGAAGGAGCGTACAAGTGGAAATCACTCCCGACCAGAGCGGACCAGGGTAGAGTTGTGTCTAGAATACACCGGGTGACATCTATGTCTATGACCAATCCTTGGCTTTTGTGATGAGATATGGTCTTTTGCGCGTCCAAGCAAACATTGCAAAGGTGTGTGGGCTGCAGGAGTGAAATGAACGCTTACAAGCTCACAAGCTCTGTGGAGAGCTTGAAAAGACGCCAAAGCATCGGGACCGCTATGGTGCAAAATGCCTATTGATGTGGTTGAAGTCTTCGATATGACCACGGGATGCGTTGCACTCTGTTCAAGAAAAGAGTGCAGGAAACCTATACTATACTACCGTCCACCACTACAAACCATGGCAGACCCACGTTCGACAAACATAGGCAATATATGGCAATATATATATATATACAAAGGGCCATATACCAACAAAGAAACATACGAGTAAATCTCAAGCATCACTGCGGCCAACGAAAGGCTAACGGCGCCGCTGGTCCGCAAGAGCGGTCGGAGGGTGCGGCAACGGAACAGCACTCCGGACAGCCACAGCCAGGCGAACAGCCCAACAAGATCCAACACGTAAACAAACAAGAACACGTGGCGAACAGCCCAACGATCCGCCACGCAGCTGCCTCCAGTTTCCAAGCCAAGAATACCTCCCACGGATGAGTGATGAGAGCCACGTTGGACCACACCTAGAATCTGCGTTCCCGGCGGCAAAGGTGTTGGACTTGGTCTGGATTTGACGTCAAACATGACGGTTGCTTGCTGAGGGGTTCGGGTTCCACAGCTCAGAGTGCCAGCTCGAGTCATTGACATGAGCGGCAACGCGGCAGGGGTCATGCTGCTGGCATCTCGGTCGGTGACATCAGCGAGGCTCTTAGGGTCGTCAGAGCAACGACGGACCGTGCCAGGAACAGCTAGGAGCACGGGAGTTGCTCTCCGAGTTTGAGGAAGGATGTTTAAAACGCGCGTAACAGAGAAAACACTCGACAGGTTCAAGACCTGCCTCATCATCTCTGACGCAGCCTGCCCACTGGGAGACGGTGCTTCCCAAGAGCTGCAATAAGCAAAACATGCAACGTGTTTCATAGGGAGAAAGCTAATGGCCGGGTGTCTCGCGAGTCTCGCGGGAGTCTCCGATCATAAAACTCTCTTTGAAGCGGACAACCGTGCAAATGGCGTTGCATCCGCTAACGGTGTCACTCTCTTTTTCCAGCCGCACGCGGTGGAGCATGTCATAGGGAGAGACGCGACTTCGGGGAGAGCGGCGCTTTGCCCCTCCTTCCTCCAAGCTGGCATCTGGGTATCCGTGTTGGACATAGATACATCTCCAAATGCATTCCGTGGACCTAAAATTTGCACATTGGTGCTTCATCCACCTTCCTCGACATGGGCTGGATGGATAGGAGTGGATGAGCTGGAGTCCGAGGGGTTGCTGAGATCCCTATGTCCACAAGGTTTAGACATCTCATTACATGGATACAAAATGCATAAAAACATAGAGACAATACTCATTGACCTGACAATTGTTTAGCCAAATCTCTGAACCAAAGCGGAGGCCCAAAAAAAAGGCAGCTTGGAAAACTCCCGTGCATCCGCTCAACCGATAATGATACCGGCTTCCGCCAAGTCCTGGCCAATGCAGGCGGAATGCAAGCCAAGCTATCTTCAATCATGACAAACAGAGATACCCAGAGAATTCAGGAGCCAGGATTCAATTGATTGCTTGAAGTCTGCTAGCTGTTTGACACTTTGGGCACTCCAAAGTGCTTTGGCCTCTCTACAAGACCCTTAAGGACCCCAAAAACCCAACACAGCTGTTATCCATCTGGGCTATGGGCTCCAAGCCCGTCCAAAACCAAATATACAGTTATAAGTTATTATACAGTATATAACATCCCCGTAACTGCTGTTTGGACTCACACTGCATAAACTCCCGCTAACAACCCAGTTCTTTCTTCATCCAAAGCCGGGCCTCGGGCGCCATCTCGATTTCGGCGGCCACGCCAGGGTCCGCCTGAGGCATCACGAACGAGTGTGAGAGGAGAAATCCACTCAGATTGGCTCCTTTCGTGAAGAAGCAATGATTGAAACTTGCGGTTCTTGTGGGAGGCTTGTTGGGGATCATCATGGTCTTTTGCCCTTTTGATCCCTTTTGACATTGTCATCCTTTGTCCTGACTTGACACATCTTGGGACCGTTGGTCTGCCTCCGCCAAGAGCTCTGGGATCTCCGCGTCGAACTTCCCGAAGGAGCCATCAGGCTTCACGTCCTGCGGCGCGCGAAGGAGCGGTCGGGCGCGCCCGCGGCGTGGGACGAGACCCTCGGGGCGTCCAGGAACTGGGGGAGTCCAACACCTCAGCAGCTCAGCATGGTTCAGCGGTGTTTTCCCTACACTACCAGATGTTTCGCCGTAATTTGTTGGAGGCCGACGGAGTAAGATGACAAAGTAAGTATATATATATACATATGTAACTAAATACATTTATATAGACAGCTCAAAACAACACACTCATCTCGCTTGATGCAATCAGGCTTCAAACTCATTCTGTTCCATCAAGAGCGGGCAAAGTGTCCTTGTACTCTTGTCCAAAACGAGAACGACAACCTGCCAGCCCTTCCAACACCTACGACAACGACCCCCCCCGGCGGACCGATCCTGCCGCTGATACACCTGGATGTAACTCTCCGTGAGCGCCACCATCTGCGGCAGCACCGGCGTGACCTCGATCGCTAGGCATCGCCCGTGGTGTGCAGCGCCCGTGGTGAGAAGACGGTGGGAAAACGGATGGGAGACCCCTTGAAAACGACCATAGAGAGATCAAAGGACCTCCGTGAAGAATGCCAGCGTGGTCACATCATCTTAAGGGTGATATTCTGCTCATGAATCTTGAAATGTGGAGCATTCGTAGCGTGAATTGATGCAGCGCCATGAATGAAGAAACATGAAGCAAGCAAAAGGAACGTGTTCCTCCTCACAACAAAGGAAATGCAAACGTTGGCCTCCTGTCCAACCCTCCAAGAGGCTTTGAGAGAGAGAGAGAGAGAGCGAGGATTGAGCAAAATCACCAAGAGAAAAAGATAGAGAGAGAGAGAGAGACAGAGAGAAGTTTGACCTGCAAACTTGGTTCATAAGAACTCTCGCCGTGTCAAGCCTGGGGCACTGGCTCGCAAGTCATGAATCTCAAACCACTGCGAGGTTGGCTGATGAAAGACCTGCCAGTGCAAAAGAATCCATCACAAGTGCCAGGATGCATAGCCAACGCAAACTACCGGAATAATGGTAGCCGTGCCTGCACTTTGTAAGTTCCTCTCTCCGGCTTTCCATCATGGCAAACATTTGCCACCAAATCCTGGCCAACCGTTCCAGCGAATTGGTCGCGTCAAAAATTTCAGCTCGAACATCAAATACACCAAATCCTAAGTCCCGATCCTCCTGCTCTGAGTGTTCAGCGCGTATTCCACACAAACATGGCGGTTTTGGGAAGAATCACCTATATATCTTTAAAACATCTCTCACTGGTGCTTGATGTCGCAAGCTCTCTACCAAAGCCCTGGTCCACCAGCCGCCATTAATCAATCCTATATTTGTTTTATCACTTCTCGTCGAAACCATGCATTCGCTGTTCCTTCCAAAATCAGACAACGACCAGTCGGTCAAAAGGCGCCAGGTGGACGTACTTGGTCTCGGGGTTGGCCGGCTGGCAATCTGGATGGATGTAATCACGGAGGTCCAGGCCTGCGTCACTTCAAGTGGCCGGGAGGGGCCGAGGTGGCAGACAACGAGAAAACCAAAGAAAGCACCGCCTCCGAAAGGGTCTCGGCTTGGGCTGAGCTCCGTAAATGGTGAAGATCGATGTTTGGTACATGGGATTCTTGCTGAAAGAACCATTGCGTGAGGTCTCCCATGTCATATTGTCCCAAAGAAAACATGGACAATCCCTCATGTGGTTTCAGCATACGGGCCGAAAAGGGGATCACACGCAGAGCATTGGAAAGTGATTTGCAGGGTGTATGTTTTTTTGCCCGGGAAAGCTCCGCCTACTTACTGGTCTTCACGTAGTCACATGTGTGGCAGAAACTCCAATCTCCAAAATCTGCCTACTACTTGCGGGTACAAATTTGCAAACTGGAAGGATTGCTAATTTTGAGGCCCCACAAGCCACAAGGGTCAACAATTCTTGGGTGTCGGACGAGCGCCTTTTCTAGAGGTGATTATATATCACATGTGTGATGTCACATGCAGTGTCTTTTCTACTATTCAGTGGCTTGTAGGCAGTCACAATTTTGGCATATCTACAGTAATCATATCTATGCTCTCCTTGCACGAAGCATCATCCCGAAGCCGGCCTTTCAATGGAAAGGTGACGATGGTAGGGTTCTTCTCGACGAAGAAGTTGTTGTTTCCTTGGCAAAACCAGCTAAATAAGGAAGTGGTCTATCATCCGCAAAGAAGTCTTCCGAGAGTATGGTGCTTTGGGGTGACAGTCTGGCAAAAATCGCATCCAAGTAAAGGACTAAAGCGCTTCACCACGCAAATCACATATGGAGGCAGCCGCCGCAAGCTATACCTGTGCAGCTGTGGAAAAATACCACTGCTTTGGGCTCGGTGACAGGAAAATCGGCACGCGTCGGCACAAAAGTACGTTGCAACACACCCAAACACCAATGCAAAGGTTGTCTTGTAGCCAAAGGTTCTGAATGTTGGAATCGGTTTTCGCCGCATTCGGGTGGTGAAACCGCTTTGTAGTGAGACTCAGTGAAACTTGGCCGTCGAGCAAAGCCCTGGTACCAGCCAGCCCGTAGCAAAAAAGAACTGGGAATCAAACCAAACATGGGCCGTGCCTATGTTCAACTCACCTGGTTTTTCTTCAGAACTCACCTGTGACATTTTCAGCCGGACACCAAGGCTTCCCACGGCCGGTGCTTCCTACGGCGAGTCGGGGTCGTCGGACCACTCGTCGCTCCACTCATCCCCGCGGCCCTCCAGTGGATCGTCGGGGTAGCCGTTGGGCGGCGTCACCCGTTGGATCTGGGCCCGGCCCCGGAGATCCTTGTAGAAACGATCCAGACCAGCCTCACCGAGCTGAGGAGTGAAAGGTGCATGGTATAGCTACTGGTAGGCACAGTCTAAAAAGCTTCCAAAGGTCCGGAGATCTTTCAGCTTTCGATGTGCAAAGAAAAATGCCAATAGACGACATGTTTGAACCGATTCAATCTGTCCAAAGCTTTGCAAGAGCTTCTTCAAACCAAGCAAAACATTGCAAGCTCCCAACGATCTGTTCGAGCGGATCCGTTTTTGTTCAATCCGTGCTTCTTCACATCGTTCTTCGCACCCAAAAACGCCCGGCCTCTTCCTCTCTCTGGCGCTCGGCGGCCAGCTGCCTCTGGAGACTCTGCACCCAGGCGGCTTGATCCTTTCGCTCGCTCACCGAGTCGGTGATCCACTGCCGATCGGCGCTCACGGGCTTGATGCCGCGACTGGCCAGGCTTTCCTGGACCTGGAAGCAGGCGGGCAACCAACGTACCAGTACCGTCCACCACCGAGCCGGTTGCAGGTTTCAACGGGAACGCCAGGGCGCCCACGGATTTCAATTGGACAGTTCTTTAAAGAAGACTTAAGGAAGAAGGGGAAGAGGAAAGGGTAAAAGAGATAGTTTGATAGCCTTGTGGGGAACATCTACCTTTAATCTTTAACTTCTGGCAAGAACTCTGCACCTTGATCCACATTTCAAGCTCCACGGCCATGGGATACAACTTCACCAATTCCATCTGCTGCCTCTCTGCAATGCTCAGAGTCTCTTGACACTCGAAACCGATGCATTTCAACACGGAGTAGATCTTGGCCCGGCTGTCTTGTTCACCTCCATCATTCTTCAGCCACCGCGAGCCCTGATGCTCTTGAGCAGTTGCAGATGCTCTCTCAAAGCCCTTCGTCACGGTGGTGCGATTGGCACTGGGGCTACTCTGGACACTTTGCCCCCCCTAAGGTGTCCGCAAAGTTCTTCGCGTGGCGGAACTTTGTCGCCAGATGGCTGGTGCTGGTGATGGTGCTCCCATCCCCATCCTCCATGTCCACAGCTGTGCGTGGGTTAAGAGGTTGGTCCAAATCTTGGATCACCCCATCCGGTGCCAGGTTCCGTGCCGCTTGCTGCTCGCTCTGCCAAAGCTCCAGGAGGAGTCTCAAGGCTCCCTTCATGGTGACTTGAGAGTTCCACTGCGTGAAGAGTTTGGCAGCTTTTTTATATTCCTCACGGATGCAATTGCTGCAATTCCCCTAGCGGAAAAAAAAATAACAAAGAATTTGAAAAGCCCAATGAAAAAGGCACCAAAGCAAGAATGCAACCAATCTTTGGACAAGAACCCCCACACAACCAAAACCTCAAACATTCATCTTCTCCCGCCCGAGAGTCCATGAGGTCTGCTAGGCACCCAATGATCTGGCGCTTTAAGATCATGGGCGCGACCTCCAGGCAATCCAGTAGCGCAAACAAGCCGCCGGCATCCAGAAAGCGGATTTCGTTCTTCCGGGTGCCCACCACGGCGTTCCAAATGCAATCCACCACCTGGGAACGCACCGACCGGTGTGGAGAACCGTGCGAGCCGACTCGGGTCCACAGGCTGTCCACAGGTCCTTTAGAAGGATACTGATGGAACCAAACCCCAATCTCCCAGACAAAATCTGCAGAGACTATTTCAAAGACAAGCTGTTCTTTATGCTTGTGAGAAGGAACAGCTGATCTGACCGCCTTGTATAGCTTATGCCTATGGCCCACAAGATTCATACTCCTCAGAGTTTCTTTCGACTTCTATGTTCACATAACACCGGGCATCTGCCCTTGATCACGGGCAAAGAGAAATCCTACCCAAAACAACCCTCTCCTGCCTGCAACCTCAATACTTGATGAGAAAAAGCTCCTATTCAGCGAAACCAAAACAAAAATCAAGGACATCATTCACATCACTAATTAATTACATCAGCCACAAGAAATGCGATCGGTTCCATTTTTGCAAGGCACGCAAAGGCTATAGAACAAGTGATTGTCCGTGGTATCGCCAGGTCTATAGATCACCTCGTCGCGCATGGCCTCCACTCCGTCCTTCTTTCGGAACTCCCGCGCGTTGGCGGGGCACTCCTCCGGAGGAGTCCCGGCGAGACGTCGCGTCCGGCTCGCGTGGCCGTGGGCGAGCGCGTTGGCGAGACGGAGACATGTGGGCGGGGGGGTTGATCACAACTGAGAAAAGAACGCAGGGGGTCTGGGGATCTGGGGTATTAGAGTCAGAGGTTCAGAATACTCGAGAGGGTGAGAAATAAACAATAACTGGTGGAAATCTGGGGTCCTACACCTATGAGCTGGTGGCCATGATGAGAAGATATGATGAGAAGCTGGTGGTGCAGGACACACCAGCTGCTTTCCCTCCATTTTTCACCTGCACAACCATACGCCAATGTTGTTGAGTTATGCTGAAACCATACGGCATACTCACTACTCACCTTCTTGTACAACGTCCCATGATGTCTCACAGGTCCCACGATGTCCCCATGAGGGACACGGCAGCTCCTTGCACATGGTGGCCAAGATAGAGGCACACATTTGCCGCGAGGTCATCGGATTATCTTTGTCAGTGAAGAGCTCGACCAGTGTCCCGACGGCTCCCAGCTGGCCCAACTTCTCGGCAAAGGCCTGACCCATGCGAACGGCCACCTGGGAGCAGATCTCGCTGTCATCACTGAACATCAGCCCCAAACGACAAAACAAATTGTACAAAATGTTCATAACATATTCACGGAAATGAAGGGCGGGATCAGGCATTATCGCTCGCCAAAGTCTTTTGGATACGTTTACCCTCGTGTCCACCCCTCACCTGCAGCAAATGCAGGGACTTCTTCTGCACCTCACGGCTACGAGTAGCTTGCAACAGCTGCAGCACTGTAGAGTTGCCATCGGCATCCATGAAGGCATCTGGCATGTATTGGACCAACTGGAAAAGGGCGCTGAGCGCTTCAAGCTGCACCTTGCGCCGTTGCTCCTGACTCCATTTTTGCTGCTCCACTGGTGGCTCAGGATTGAGACACTCCAACAAAGACTGAACCAGGTCGCATTTCACGGCTAGTCTGGCGCAATCATCTGAAGAGCAGCACCGAGCCAAGGTCCCCCAAATCAAGGTTCGGAACTCCATGTCTTCCTGGGTGTTAACAATTGGGATGCCACCCTTCTTGAGCCCATCATCCCCAAGGTCTGGCAGGAGCTTTGCATCTTGCTGTTCCTCTAAGATGCCACTCGCTTGCAGCTCCTTCCGCCGTGCCGCGGACACGGCATAGCTCAGCAGCAGCGACATGAGACCCGTTGAGGCAAACAAGGAGCGGTTCTCGACACGCTTGGAGATATACATGAGCAAAACCATCATGTCATTGCGAAAGATTTTGTCCTGCAAGCTTGGAGCAAGCGTCAGGAGTGACCCCGGACAAAGAAATAGGATGAAATAAAGACTGCAATGCTGAAAGACTAACACATGTTTGCTAATCCCTTGTCCAGGGCGGCCCCTTTATGTTTGAGACATTCCCCGTCTGCCTGACCCATGTCATGACCTTTCACAGCGGTTTTTCTGCGACATGGCCCCTCACCTTGAATCTGTAGCCCCTGGTGAGCACTGCATACATGAAATCCCGGAAGGATTCAATGACCTCTTCCTGTCCCAAGGCTTCCGTGGCGCCATCCCAGTCTAACTCCAAGACATTCCACAGCACCTCTGCAGCCACCAGCAGCACGTCGGAGCCCAGCAAGTTCACCCGGATCACGTGAACCAGGTTGGAGATCAACCCGCAGTTGGTGATCTGACACGCCAAGGGGCGGTAGAGCGACATGTCGCGGATGGCCCCCAAGGTGATGACAATGGACTCCGGCGAATCCTCCGAGCGGAAGGAGGCCGAGACCGCGTCCATGACGTTGGACTGGCGGAGGATCCGCAGGTTCGGGGTGCCAGAATCGGCCACCGCTTGGATTAGGGGCTGGTTGGGCAAGAGCTCCACGCTCTCCTCATCCAAGCCGAAGCGTGCCCAGCATGCCAGGGTATGAGCAACTTCGATACGGAGCCGTTCAGACATGGTCTTTTTGTGCTCCCATTGGGCCTTGGCCTCTGGATCAGCTGGTGGGTTGTCACTCGGGGGTGAGGTGTAGCTGAGAACACTGACTATGCCTTTGACGAAGGCAGGCAAATGATGACCATAGGTGATCATGTCCGAGGTCTTACAGCTGACAAAAGGCTGAGAGGCCACCCGTGTGAAGTCGCAGAGCGCCTGCGCCAACAAATCCTGGCCCTGCGCAAAGCGGTCGACCGCCAGGTAGAGTAAGTCCACCAAGGGCTCCAGGTGCTGCAGCAGAAAGCCATTGCAGCAGACTTTGCAAAGCTTGCGAATCGCAGCCACGTGGCGATCCACCAAATCCACCGTATATTTCGAGGTCATGAGCTCCTCAGTCGAGTGGTGATGACTCCGTTTGGCGGAGCCAAATCACTGTATGTTCACTTAAGATGCGATGTACCTTCCCACTTGGGATGGGGAATTTGTATGAAATTGTAGGGGAACCATGGGAAAAGTGCGACCCTAATTGCACCATCATGAGGTGGCCGGCGGACCTGCGCGCCTTTAAAAATTACACCACCGTAGACCCCAAACAGTTTGTGTTTTCAAAATGGAAACTAGAGCTTGCGACGTCCAGAGCTGGGAGATAAATGTAAAGGATTGCAAGGACACAGCAGTAAAGAGCGGGGGGGACACATCTTAAGAAAGAAGTGAGAAGCCCTAACAGTAAACCTTTTGGGGAATTATTCTTCAAGCGCGAACATGATGCTGGTCATGCTGCTCAGTCAGCGGGGAGCTGACCACGTGAGGACAAGAAACAAAAGCATGAGGAGCGAAGGATGTGACATGAAATTGATTTTTGGCGCCTGACATATGCCCTCCGCCCCAACTGAATGGAGAGATCGCTGCCACACCGCCGAAATCCAATCCGGTCATTCATCCAACGGTTGCCCGAGAAGGAAAACAAAGCTGAGAGAGTTACACACTGCGGCAGGAATGCAATCCCGGAGACAGTCACGCACCCCTTGTAAAGGAGCAAGAACCTTTCACAGGCGAACCTGTTCCAGCGGACAGGGCAGAAAACAGCAGTGCAGGCACCAAACCTGAAAGACAAAAAGAAAGAAATCACATGGGAGACAAATGAATAGAAATGCTACATGGCCAGCGGAAAAGGGCGGCAGCACCAGTGACAGACCCGGGAAACAAATTAATAGAAATGCTGCATGCCCAGCGGAAAAGGGCGGACGCCAACAGTGACAGACCTGGGAGACTAATGAATAGAAATGCTGCATGGCCGACGAAAAGTGCGGACACCAGCAGTGACAGACCTGGGAGACAAAACACTGGCAGTGACAGACCTGGGAGACAAATGAATAGAAATGCTACATGGCCAACGGAAAAGGGCGGACACCAACAGTGACAGACCTGGGAGACAAATGAATAGAAACAGCGGAAAAGGGCGGACACCACCAGTGACAAGCCTGGGGGACAAATGAATAGAAATGCTGCGTGGCCAGCGGAAAAGGGCGGAAATTAGCAGTGACAAAGACAAATGAATAGAAATGCTACATGGCACCAGCAGTGACGGACCCGGGAGACAAATGAAGCATTTCTGGGAGATAAATGAAAAGAACCGGGAGACAAATGAAAGCAAGTGTAGGGCGGGAACCCGACCACAAGCACCCAGCCTGGGAGACAAATGAAAAGAAGTTGGTGACAAATGACAAGAAGTGGGAGACAAATAAGAAGAAGTGGGAGACAAGCCGGCCCGGAACCCGACCACAAGCAGAAAAGAAGTGGGAGACAAATGAAAGGAAGTGGGAGACAAGCTGGCCGGAAACCCAACCACAAGCACCCAGCCTGGGAGACAAATGAAAAGAAGTGAGAGACAAATGAAAGGAAGTGGGAGACAAGCCGGCCCGGAACCCGACCACAAGCACCCAGCCTGGGAGACAATGAAAAGAAGTGGGAGACAAATGAAAGGAAGTGGCCTGGGAGACAAATGAAAAGAATTGGGAGGCAAATGAAAGGAAGTGGGAGACAAGCCAGC